CAAGTGAACACTATTCATATATCAAGCTGTCAAGTATTGTCACCTTAATAGAGTAAACAATTAAAAAGAAGAATTGTAACAATCATTTTAATGGGCTTCTTGTTCATTAATTTCATAGAAAAAACTAAAACTGATTTGTGAAAATAAACTACCCATACTTTGCCTCTTTCTCTCTTTTTAAAGCTATCCGTCAACTAGACCATCACAAGTGTTCTGTAAATCTATTTTATTCCCTTCATTAGATTATGGAACATTAGATTATGGATCCAAGTGGAGAAAAGGCCATTGTCTGGCTTCCTCTGATCTCATTTTACCCATAGGTCACAGAAGGTATTCAAAGTTCTTAAAATGCACATTATTAAGAAAGAACTGAGTTCCTTTTTCTAGACAAGATAACCCACCACCTCCCTCAAGTGGTCAGTTGGATTAGTTTTCTGTTTCCAGAGCTGACGTAGTTTATTTTCAAGAACTATTGAGTCATGCATAACGGCTGGATTGAATGGACTTTTTTTCTTTATTAAATTGATTGGCCTTTAGGGTGAAGTGCGCTGACTACATTGAATTGCATTATATTTTCACTTCTCTATGTTGAAAGAAAAAGAAACTTAACTAGGGGCTAGCAGTTGTTTACAGGGCTGGTCGACTCAGGATTGTTTTCGCTCTAGCCTTCACCGTTTCTGCTAAGAGCTTAATCCAAACTTCATCATTTTGACTTCCTTAAAGTTTTGTACCAATTTCTTTTTCACTAGAGCAAAGGTGTTAATTCCTGCTTCCTGAACAAATTGGCCTTTCAGTGATTACACATCACTCACCAAAACTTGCTTAATGATGTGATTTACTAACCAAAACTGAAAACTTTTTAAAGTGTTTCCTCAGTTAATCTCTCAGAAGGGGGAGAAGGGGTGGGGAGAGGGAAAGGAGACCCAGGCTGTCTTTCCGATGAACAACAGTGAGTAAAATTCTCAGTGTTATCTATAGTCAAATCATTTTCAGGGCATTTTATACCAAAACATCATTTCAAGAGAAACTTTTATAAAAGTCATTGCTTTAAGTAATTAAGGCTAACTTTAGTTCTAACAATCCCAGAATAAAATATACCAGCAAGGATGTCTGCAGAGTAAACTTGAATAAAAATATATGAGTTGATGACATTCACGCTTTCTAATGGTAACTAAGTAAAATTCCTTTTCTGTTATGTTCATTCCTCAGGTTTGTGAAAGGATGAAAGAAACTGGGAAATAAGTCAGCTGGGAAGCTAGGTATAAAAACACAGGCAATTGAACAGACTTTTGTTGCCTTTAGTGTTTCAATAACGCTTATCCAAAGTTTTCAAGTTGATTTAGATAACCTAGCAATCAGCTAAATCAGATATTTGAGGGCAGTTTTTAGCTTTTTCTTTTTTAACCCCAACCACAAAATAAACTAACTCTTCCTACAAAAGCAGTCAGCCTTTCCAGTATTTTGGCTCCCCAACTCACATCTTGATGAAGCCAAACCCCTAGGAATGAAAAAATATCTACACATGCACACAAAACTTACTAAACCTATGTCAAAAAAGGGCCAAGTGTGTCAAGTTAGAGAGGATTCTGGACACTCTAATCTCAAAATAGATCAAGCTATAACAAGGTTTAATTCTTCTACACCTTGATCTACTGCTAAGCTCCTCCAATTATTCTTGACAAGAATACCTGGATTCCGTCACCGTCCCAACGCTAAAGGTTTGAAACAGTAGGGTGGACAGACACAGGAAAAGTAGTCAATGATACAAAACATTCCAATATGTGTATCCTATTGGCTGAAGGTAAAACAGAAGGCATTTATATTAGCTTCCAGGGAATGAACACCTCAGTTTATTCTTTGTGTAAAGTGCAAAGTGCCTTATAAGCAAGTGTGGTTAGGAACAGTGTTGCTTTAAGGTCCTGAGACTGAGAGAAACATCAACATTTTCTTCATTATTTGGGTAGAATGCCATAATAAAATTTTCATATTTTGGTAAATTGAAGGGCATGGTAGCCAAACATATGTCAAGAAGTACAGATTCAAAATTCACACCCTAAAATGTCTGGCAGCTTTTTGTGGGCTTCCTGACATTTAACCAGCAAAGACTGTAGATGTGTCTGAAATAAGACTGTTCCTTTGTTTTCTGTGACTTAGACTCTTCTGGGTTCGGAGTCTTCTGGGTTCGGAGTTGGTAAAATAAAGATGGGAATGCTTGCGGCTACACCTTCACCAACACTCCACCAATGGCATTCCTGAGGGTAGCCTAGGAGGAGCGGGTGACGGAGGGGAGTGAGAGGCTTCAGAAAAGGAGGAAGGAACATCTGTTGCCAAGGCCACAGTGCTCCAAATAAAAACATCAGGTTCTAAGATGGAACCTGAGATTCTGTGTGTCCAACAAGCTCCTAGGAGCACACTTGTGTAGACAGGACCTTGGATCAGCACTTCTCACACTATCTGTTGAGAAGGAATAGCTCCTCCACCCACACAATCCCAGGCAGGACTCTGCTCTTGTGTTCCCCATTCTTCTGGGGCAGAGAAAGAGACCACAGTGACATGACACACTAATCACTTCTGCAGCACTCCAGGAACCAGATGCACCATCAGAAATTCTGCTGGTTTCCAGGATGGGTGTATGAGAAAAAAGACAAAAAGAATTCCTCACTTCACTGCTTGAGGCCAGTTTCTGTAACACACTGAGGGATGCTAAGTTCCTTTGGTTTTCCTGCAAACAGCCACTGACACTAGTCTTGTATTTAGAGTAGGACTTAAAATCATTCCACAGCCCATAGTTTTTAAGGAAGCAAATTATGGGGTTGACTTCCCATATGCTTCTCATCTCTGGGATGTGCTCATCAATTGACTTCTCACAGGGTGCTTGCCCCAGCTGCCTTGCAGTCTTTCCAGTTGAAATTCAAGATTCTCTGGTAACTGTAGCAGGACAACTCCTCAGACCAGCGACCTTCCAAATAACCTTCTCATTCCTCTCATGTTCAGAGAATGGGAAAGGATGCCAGAAAGCTATGTGAGGGTGAATGAGGGCCAAAATTGTAATTTATATCTATGACCTGACGGAAAGGTGGAAACGGGGAGAATGTTACTCAATACTTTCTTTCACTGCACTAATCTCTCTTCGAGGATGCTTTGCCAAGACAAATCATATATTTTTATACGAAGCATCTACCATTTCTACTCTTTTGCCGTAACAGGCATTTCAAACCTAGTAAGGGCAAGAGAACTTTTTTTCTAGGATAGAATGTTAGCTCCTTGAAAACAGAAATTCTGCCAGGTTCATTTTACTGCCATACTCCCAGCATCCAGAACAATGTTTGGCACACAGTAGGTGAACCAAAAACACATGTGGGCAGCTAGCTAACCATAATGGTAGTGAGGGCATCACAAGGCCTCATGACATATATTATCTAACTACATATTATACGTATCCTTATTACTCCACAATTTACCTCCTGCCAGCCTGCCCTGAATCTTCCCACATTTTATAAACTCCCTTCCTTTCTGCAAAGATTTATTATCTTCCCAGTATCCTCACCTCTCCCATTTGTCTCCTTTGTTCTACATTTTCCCTGATCTTGCATGTATCAGAGACTTTTACAGCATAAGTTTAGAAAAAGTGAGCATTACAGCTCCACTATACTTTCTAAGCACACCACCTAGAACCATGAAACAATGAAGACTCTAGTTTGCAAAGATTCCCTGCAGAGGTGACAGTTGTGAGTAGAGCAAAGATTGGATGGACCAGACACAAAGTCACACTAACAGTAGGGAAAGTGTTTCAATAAGACAGAATAAATTTATGAGGAAATTATTGAGTCTTTATGTGATTCTGAGCAATCTGTGAAGTAAAAATCACGTAAGTACCAGGGACTCTTTTCAGATATAATGAAATGCAACCATGGTTCAACCTTGACTAGAGATTCTGCATGGGGGTTCTGCCACCTGATGGGAAAGACAGATGGCTTACAAGATTAGCATTTCTCCACTCACATAACTTCTTGGAGTAACACTCAAGAACAGACCAAAATGACATCTTATTCTAAATATCTCCCTTCATTGATGTGACACCTCAGCAATTCCCCCACAATGACAGAATTTTGGCTCTTCAGCTAAACTTAATAATGCAGAAATAATTCGGGACATAAAAGCTGAAGGGGAAAGAAGGTGCTGTACTAAGCAAAGAACACTTAGGGAAAATACCTTTTTTCAAAATTTTGATCAAGTAATTCAATCACTCCAAAACGTAATTATCTGTGTTCCTCATTGAACACTGGTGAAAAACATTTAACCTTTTTTTAAAAAGTGTTTTTAATCTTTAAAGGCTGAGCATGGTGGCTCAAGCATGTAATCCCAGCAGTTTGGGAGGCTGAGGCAGGTGGATCACCTGAAGTCAGGAGTTCGAGACCAGCCTAGCCAACATGGTGAAACCCTTTCTCTACTAAAAATATAAAAATTAGTCAGGCATGGTGGTGGGCTGCTTATAATCCTAGCTACTCTGGAGGCTGAAGGAGGAGAATTGCTTGAACCAGGGAGGCAGAAGTTGCAGTGAGCAAAGATCACATCATTGCACTCCACACTGGTTAACAAGAGCAAAACTCTCTCTCAATTTAAAAAAAAAAAAAAATCCTTAAAGACACAGTTTCCCAAGATCTGATTTTAAAAGTAGAATATTAAAGAATCACCACGTAATAGTACTGTCACACCCTCCACTCTTGTGACAAATTTTTTTATGACTATTCCCTCCCCACTTCTTACAGTAAAAATATGTAAGAGTAGTTTAAAAAAAAAACTCTTGGTTTCAAGTTTTCTTAAATCAGCTACAGTTCAACAACCTGAAATAATTAAAAATAAATTAGAACCTAATATTCAGTAACCTAATCATAGCATGTGGCTAATTGTGAGTATCCAGTCAACACCAGCACCAAGTTATGATGAAATAAAACCATCCCACTGACATATCCCCCACACCTACCACCCCCGAGACTCACTTGTCCAGGGTTACTTCCTTCTGTTACCACAAACACCTCCATTGTCAGCAAAAGCCTGAGTCAGTCTTGAGAAGAAAAAATAAGCGAATCCTGCACTTTGCCCCCATGTGCTATAAAAACACATACAGTCTCCTCTGACAGCTATCTATCTCCTTGGCCTCGCCAGAATAAATTCTGGTGGGTTTACGTTGATAAAACCAAATAATTCACCTCCAAAAGAGGCCAGCACTGATGGCATCAGTAAAGGAGATCAAAGTGCAAAGAGCATATTTAAGTGGAGCTCAACCTGCCCATCAAAATCACCTGGAACAGTAAAAAATACCATCTCTAGAGTTTCTGAATCAGCTGATCTGAGGAGAAACCTCTAAGGCATTCACGTTTTCTTGATGCTTCCCAGGTTATTCTACTGTGCCTTGCAACCAAAGCAATTTTTTCCCCCTTATTTTCACTTATTAAAATATTTCATTTATTTTCACTGAGTAAAATAGGTTTTCACTTATTTTCAGCAAAGTTAAACATGGAAAAGTCCTCAAAGAGCACTGAGATTGTGCTTCTCAAACTTCCACGAGGGCACAGATCAGCTGGAGGTCTTGTAAAAATGCAGATTCCAAGTCAGGAAGTGTGGGGTGAGGACTGGGGTAGTACAAGTCTAGCAAGCTCACAGGTGGGGCTCATCTGAGAACCACACCTTGTTCTCTCTGTTAACTTTACCAGACAAAAAATGAGCCCCAGAGAGAGAGAGAGACTATGGATTCCAGCAGGTGATACAGCCAGCGAAAGAACAAAAGGTGATCAGAACTGATCATAGTGACTTCCGTCTCGGGTTACCACAGCAGCTGACACGTGGAAAAAAACATTTCTTTAAAAAAAAAAAAAACAGAAAACAAAAAAAAGAAACTTCGATTTTCTGCAATGCTATAGCTGGTTTAAAAAAAAAAAAGAAAGGAAAAAGAAAAGAGAAAAGAAACTGAATTTTCTACGGAAAGTTGGGAGAAAACTAAGCAATAATGAAATTTTGGCAATTTCAATTATAAAAAACTTATAGTGTGAAGTTAGTATAAATAAACTGGGGAGAGAGTTACAATTAAAACAAGAATCAGTTTTGGGTTTTTTGTTTTTGAAGCAAGAAGCATGACCGCATGGTAAGAGAATAAAACAAACTGAACAGAAGGGAGAAATAAGCAAACCCTGTGTAATAGCACACAAAGAAGGGCACAGAGAGGCAGAAAATGAGACAATAGGAAATAAGACACCAGCCTGACAAAAGGAAAATAAGAATAAAAGTAGAGAGCTGGAAAATTAGACACAGGTTCTAAAATAAAAGGAAAACATAGCAGCATGGAAAGGAACAAAAAGAAAAGTCTAATGAGATGGGAGGACTGGAAAATGGCTATCTAGAGTAAACTGAAAGAGCATAGAGACTATTGGAAGGGAAAGTATTAAAGAGTCAGGAACCTGAATACATACCAAAAAAAAATTGTCCTATTTAGTAAAAAAAAAACAGAAAAGAAGTTGTATTTCTTGAAATATCATAGTTTTTATTTTTCCTGTTTATATTTTTAAAATAAGAAAAAGTAATTTCTCCATTACCAGTTGGAACCTGGAAGATTCGCACAGTTCTAGGCGCTACCATTTCCTCTAAGCAGAAGGAGTTGAAAAGAGAACAAGGTTTAAGGCCAAAAGTGTTCCATTTTTTGTGTCCTGTGTAAAATATTTCGGGGTGGGGAGTTGGTGAGAGATAGCATGGGGAGAAATACCAGATATAGGTGATGGGGAGGAAGGCAGCAAATCACACTGTCATGTGTGTACCTATGCAACAATCTTGCATGTTCTTCACATGTACGCCAAAACCTAAAATGCAATTTAAAAAAATATATTTCAGGACCCCTAAACTCTTCACCAGCCAGGTGACCACATGTTTTATCACAGCATGAGAGACAGGCTTCTTTGAAAAAGCCATAATTCTAGCTTAACAAACTGATCCAGGCAGTCAAAACCAAGAGGAGTCATCTTCCTGAGGAAATGTTTCCCCTGGGCATGTATCTAGGAAAACTAAATTCAGACTGATGAGTTAGTCTTTTAGACATGGTAACACTAATCGCCATTGTTGCCCAAATGTACTAAGGTCATGGCTCTAGGGAAGTCCATTTCATTACAAATTTTTACTGACCATGTCCATTCATTTACTACAGCTCATTTCTAATTCCAAAAAGTCACTTAGATTCTCAAGGAAGGGAAAAAAAAAGATTGCAGAAGTTTTCTTTCCCAGAGACCAAACATTAAAAAATCAAGTGCCTACAAGGACAGGGCAGCTCAAATAAATAAAGCTGGCCTGCCTTAATAAGACTGGGAGCTCATGTCCCATTAAAAGGTAGCTTCATCTACCCAGTTCCAGTATGCAGAAATGCGGACTCAGTGCTACCACGTGTATCTGCTTTCCAGGAGACCAAAGAAACACAGATTCTTAGGTACATCTCCTGATTTTTAAATGTTAATGACTAGTTTGTTCTTTTGTTTGGTTTGATTTTGGAATAACTTTGCAACTCTCTTTTAGATTCTGCATTTTCTTTAAAAAATATGTAAGGTTTCCTTAGGGAATCAAAAAGTAAAGAACGAGACATAACGGTTTGAGACACGTGGATCCAACCACAAGTAGACTCTTCCATGAAATAATGCACAAATGGATTTGTACTTTTATAAGACCTCCATTCATGCCTGGGCACAGTAGCTCACACCTGTAATCCCAGAACTTTGGGAGGCCAAGGCTGTCATATCATGAGGTCAGGAATTTGAGACCAGCCTGGCCAACAGGGTGGAACTCTGTCTCTATGAAAAATACAAAAATTAACCAGGCAAGGTGGCATGCGCCTGTAATCCCAGATACTCAGGAGGCTGAGGCAGGGGAATATCTTTAACCCAGGAGGCAGAGGTTGCAGTGAGCAAGACTCTGTCTGAGAAAATAAATAAATAAATAAGACCCTTTTCATTCAAGGAGAGGGAAGGTGGCAATTTTAACATAATGGCCAATATGATCAGTACAATACAGCTAGCAAAAACTTAGCCTCACTTCTAGCATTTGTTTCTATAGCTCCATATAGTGAGAGCATTTTCTTTCCATTCACCGATAAAATATCATTCATATCATTTACAGAAATAAGTTTGGTTCTTGGATTTTGACTTGAAATTCCCTGGGTAGTCCCTTTTTACTGAGTATCAAAGACTGTTGGAGAAACCATGAAGAACTCTCCCTGACACAGGTTCTGACTACACAGCTTGTCTGGGAGGGCTGCGGTTGCCAGTATAAGAGAAGGAGTTCAACAGCCTCATTGTTCAGCATCAATATTCACTGATAAAGAGATGCACTTCTTAATACCATACCCACCTCCTAGCCTCCTGAGGTTCCACTGTAGCTGTTTCATGAGGCCCACATTCAATCTTCCAAAACACATCTGAAGCCATGCAGTTCACATTCCAGCTATAAATGGGAGATACTGACCCAAATCCAAACAAAAACAAAAATTGTAAAATCATCCAAAACCTCCTCTTTCCAACATCACAGGCTTCTGAATAATATGTTTAGATTCTCCCAGGCTGGAGTTCTTCCAGACAGTGCTGGAAACCAAAGTCACAGTGAATATCAGAGGCTGACTGATTAGAAATCAGGAAATGTATCCAGAAACATATATCCAAAGTGGAAGAAGAAGGCTGGCCTGTTGAGTATATGAAGACTGAGAAACACACATCTGTGCTGTATCACTTACATACATTCAAGAAACTAATGATTAACCATAGGCATAAATACAGACACACACCTATACACACACAAAAGAGCATTGCCTTCTCAAAATTCACTGATTCCCGCACTTTATTTTTTAGGTAAGCTGAACACAGGATAGCAAATTAATGTTTTAAGAACCATAATAGGTGGCTGGCAAGATGGCTAAATAGAAACAGCACCAGTCTGCAGCTCCCAGGAAGACCAATGCAGAAGGTGGGTGATTTCTGTATTTCCAACAGAGGTACCTGGTTCATCTCATTGGGACTGGTTAGACAGTGGGTGCAGCCCATGAAGGGGGAGCAGAGGCAGGGTGGGGCATCACCTCACCCAAGAAGCTCAAGGTGTCGGGGAACTCCCTCCATTAACCAAGGGAAGCTTTGAGGGCCTGTGTAGTAAGGGACAGTGCTATCTAGCCCAGATACTACACTTTTCCCATGGTCTTTGTAATCCACAGATCAGGAGATTCCCTCAGGTGTCTACACCACCAGGGCCCTGGGTTTCAAGCACACAACTGGGCAGCCATTTGGGCAGACACAGAGCTAGGTGCAGAATTTTTTTTTCATATCGGTGAGACAGAACTTTCAATCCCCTGGAAAGGGGGATGAAACCAAGGAGCAGAGAGGCCTTGCTCAGCAGATCCCACCCCAATGGAGCCCAACAAACTAAGATGCACTGGCTTGAAATTCTCACTGCCAGCATAGCAGTCTGAAGTCAACCAGGAATGCTCAAGCTTAGTGGGGAGAGGGGTGTCCACCATTACTGAGGCTTGAGTAGGCGGCTTTACCTAACACTATAAACAAAGCCTCCAAGAAGTTTGAACTGGGTGCAGAACCCACTGCAGCACCACAAAGCCACTGTAGTAGCCGCACTGCCTCTCTAGATTTCTCCTCTCTGGGGAGGGCATCTCTGAAATAAAGGCAGCAGCCCTAGTCAGGAACATATAGATAAAACTCCCATCTGCCTGGGACAGAGCATCAGGGATAGGGGTGGCTATGAGTGCAGTTTCCACAGACTTAAATGTTCCTGCCTGCCAGCTCTGAAGAGAGTAGTGGATCTCCAAAAACAGAGCTCAAGCTCTGCTAAGAGACAAGACTGCTTCCTCAAGTGGGTCCCTGACCCCCATGCCTCCTGTCTAGGAGACATCTCACACAGGAGACCTCCAGTTGGCATCTGGCAGTTGCCCCTCTGAGATGAAGCTTCTAAAGGAAGGAGCAGGCAGCAATCTTTGCTGTTCTACAGCTTCTGCTGGTGATACCCAAGCAAACAGGGTCTGGAGTGAAT